TCTGATTTTTAGAGTGTTGGGGGGGGTTTCCTGCAGGACCTGAATCAACCACAATAGCCATCACAGATGTCATTGACTGTCCACATCTTGCAGTACATCACAAGTATCTTTTTGAAGACAGTCACATCCACTCAACAACAGGTAATTGAGTACCTTTGTTTAGAACAACCCACTGTTCTTTGAACATGGAAGACTACATATTCTGTACTGTCTTCCAGTACCAACAGAATCTGCCTCAGGGTGTTCCTTGGGATGTTCACCTTTTTGAGAACAGGCAGCTATAATAAACCTGCTCTGCATTCATAATGCCTTGTCATTTCCTCCCCATCCTATTCAATTTATTCAGCATTTGGCCTATACTTGTTTCTCTTTTTCAGCAAAAGCCTCAAAAGACAATGACCAGTGCAAATGTGAAAACCTTGTGACATTCCAGAACTATGCAACCAGTGAAGTAAGAAAACTCACCCAGCGATATATCCTTTCTGAGTAACTGCTTCTTACAGGTAAGATAAGAAAGGCAGGTTAAAACAAACTACATGTTTTCAGATCAAGTCTAAACTGCCTCCATAGCTAAAAACAGTTTATTGTTATGAAAATCTAAACTACGTAATAGTTGCCAATGAGCAAAGCCTTTAACTTTTAATCTGCTTCTTCTTCATAGAAGGAACAAAAATATTAACAAGGATCTTGAATTTTAATAACTCCTTACAGTAAACACTTTCAGGAACAGCAAAGAAACAACTGGTCAAATTCAATACTAACATGCTTTGCTTTTGTTACTTCTTCAGATGCTACTGAAATAGCATTTACAGACTACAGGTTTCCCTGCTGAACTCCTTGGTGAGGCACATATGCAGTGAGTCATTTAAAACCATAATCTAGATAGGAGGAAATCAGAGGACTCAGGTTTGGTTAATCTTGCATTAAAAGAAATGCAGATAAAAGTTAGCGAAATGCAGATCACTAGCTTCTGCCACTCAGTCTATTTCAAGGGAGCTGCTAGTGCAGCAGCCTTTACCCTGCCTGCAAATCCACATCTCAGAAAACAGCAGCAAACTGGCAATACAACTCATTGTGCACTATTTATGCAGCAAATTCATGAAAGCTGCTTCTGATCAAATAAACGCTAACAAAACATCACATCTTCTACTTGTGTAACTGTGTGCAAGAGCAGTAAGCACTTACTCTCTGCACAGAAGAGTGCAGTGATCCCAACAGCTCATCACTGTGCTTCCTAGGCAGGAACAGCTTCACACTGTGAACTGTCAGTGCAGAGGGAGGCAAGCAGAGCCCTCCATGGCTGGTAACCTGATGCAGAACATGGCAGACACTTTAAGGAATTATGTTCTAATCACTTCATTAAATTACTCCATGCAAAGCAGATTTCATAAAAGAGGAGAAAGCCATCCTGTAAGGTTATTGCTAGGTGCTTCAAATGCTCATCAACACACATACTGTTGTGACAGGACTTCTAACAACTTGGGAGAAAAACTTCTAGGTTCTTTCCCACATCCTTAAGTGTTACATGACATGCAGCATTCCAGCCTGCATGCTAACAAGGAAGGAGATCAATTCTTGCCCCTTCAGAAGCTCTTTACCACAATCTCCTGCAGTGGGCTGTGAGGAGCTCTGAGCTTACTCAATGAATTTAGTTACTAAGCTTAGAAGCTTAGCAACGTGTGCTTTTTTGCTTTGCCACTTGAGCAGGCAACTGTGATTTTTACTCCAATGGCTCAAGGTAATGGAAAACCTGTCAACACTGAACCAGAGACTAGAAATTTTGATAGGAATAGTGCTAAGCACTTCCTCAGAGCACTGTGCAGCCACTGTTTAGAAGAGTATGAACCATACAGTTTCCTCTTTATTACAAACCTAATTTCTCTGCCTTATCTCAAGAGCAGCTCAGGTATGAGGTGCTACACTAGTCCTTGGTAACTGCAGACTGCTGGCTAGTCCAGAGATCTGGGGGGTGGGGGCAAACTGGCTACAAAAGTAGCTCCAGTTACACAAAACAAATTCAGAGGGACCAGTCCAAACTGTTTGATGTCCAGCTACATTAACTTTTATCAGTAAGCTGAGTGCAGTTTCACTGTTTCAACTTTGCCTCTGTGAACTCTTGAGAATATGGCTGAAGAAAATGCAGTTCACATGGCGCTCCTATGCAGAGTAACCTTGCCACAGCAGACAGATGAGCAATTACCAAACCCAATGTCCAGGCAGACTGAACACCCACAAAAGCAGGATATCCACCCTTGCTCTTTACTAGCAAGAGGTTTCCCTGCTGACAATGAGGGGGACAGTAACATAGACAGAATGTAGCTGTTCTGGCCAATCTCAAGAGGCCAAATTCTATTTGCCTGTCTGCCCTAAAAATTCCAAACAGCAATGTGTCAAAGATCCCAATTTATATGCCCAGTTCTCCATTTTCCCTTGTGCAAGATGTTAAAATGTTGAAATCACGACTCTAGTCAAACAAGCAAGGAGTGGGGTGCAGCAAATTCATCCTTTTGAGGTAGATCTCAGTGACTTCAGATCTCACTTGATGCTAGGCCTCCTCTTCCTCTCAGCTTCCCCTGGCTGCAGCCTTTCCATAGCACTCAGAGAGGCTGAAGTAAACAGTACTGGTCCAACATCTTCCTGCAGGAGACAGCATTCCTGCCAACTGGAAGTGCTTATCAGGAAAGGGATACTGTACACTACTTTGTATTGCTACAGCTTCTTACTGTAACTGGAACCAGCCCTAGATCCCATGGAGTTTGTTGTTCTCTATTCCACATTTGTCTGCAAACCACTGCCACAACTGTGGACAGGAACACATGAGGAGCAGACATTCTTACTGGGGTCTCAGAGCCCCACAGTTCTATAATCTACTGCCAGTTATGTGCAGTTTTCCACATGATTAAGTGAAACATTTTTAAACAGCATTAACTAGATAAATATTTACCCTCACTTTAAAATGGAGAAAAGCAATCAATTTGTAGAACCAGCCTTTTTAATAAGCTACAGTCTGAAATCCATGTCAAGGTAAACCTGTTAAGTAATGGGGCTTCACACAGCTTTCTCAACTCAGCTGATCAAATCAGAAGAAAATAAAGGAATATTTTATGAGAAACTACTGGGATTCTAAGAGGAGAAACGAGAATGTTTATGGACCATAGCAATCAGGTAGCTGACTTTCTAATGCATTTCATCAGTAGCTCTCTTTCCTTAACTTTTATCTACTGGAAGAAATGACAAAGAGAATGGAAGACTTGGAAAACAGACTAAAATACTGATGAGAATTTGAAGTGTATCCTACACTGTATATTTATACATACAAACTTGTCAGAGCTATTTTCTTAAACTAGTTCAAAAAAAAACCATCTTTGTGTCTGAAGTTGAAAATATTCTGGATCCTTGCATTCATATGCCATGTGTTGTCTTGCATTGATTGCAGATAAGAAATGCTGATAATTTTATATAAACAATTTAGTAACTAGCAGAAGTTCTAATTAAGCAGAACAAACTGAAATAAGCTATGCAAAATAATAAAATGGTGTTATTTTTTGAAATGAAACCTCCATGTTTTGAAGTATTTTTAGGGTATGAATTTGACTTGCTTTTCTGTATTTCCCTCCTCCACTCCTAGTATTTTAAGCACACAGATTGTGTATATATATAGTTCTATGTACAGACATACAGAGAACAAGTGAGACAGCATTCACAGCCATTAGGCTTGACTTGGATTCTTCAAACAAGTTACTACTGGAATCAGTAGGAAGTAAAAATGTAGTTACACATTTGTGTTTAAACCGTAATGGAATTAAATTATAAAAGTGAGAAGTCTGCTGGGTTATCAGGGCATCACAACTTGAAGTTTCAAAACCTTTTCCTTATGTCTACACTACCCAACTTCTCCCTGCTGTCCTTTTGTCAGTATTCACTGATTCTCTAACTTTCCTGAATGCAAGTAGTATATTAATTCTGAAAATATTACTTGGTCAATTCAGCTAGCTGCACACCTGTCAAACACTAAAACACAAACAAAACCAAACAAACTGCTTCTATTCTGGCCACCCTAAGTGTCTACAAGTCTCACTCCCTTCCCTTGACTGCAACTCATCCAGATCTGTGGTTTAATAGGTAAATATACCAGCACTTCCTCCTTTGCTCTGACACACCTCAGAGTTTGCCTCTTGACTATCTCCAAATGGAAACACCAAACTTCATTCACTTTATAACAGAAGTAGTTGCAGCAAAACTTAAGTGATTAACTGATGTCAGACAAGCTGGTGAGTGTATGTGGATATACAATAGCAAGCTTTGAAAGATACCTCATGCTTTGGCATACTGTGGAATTCTGCGGGGTTACAGGTATTTTACCTGATTTTCATTAGGTGTTTGTTTTTACCATGTCAGAAAATCACTGCCACCTCAATTAACAATCCCTAGTAATAAGGAACATCCTGCAGTCATGGTCTCAAACAAAACAGTCACAAATCTCCAAGATACTGACATTCTCAGCAATTGCCTTGAGAACACCTAGTCATCTGTCTCCAGTATCTTCAGAAAACTAAAAAAAAAAAGGCTACTGATTTAAAAACAGCTTTGTGAAGTTAACTGGTATCTTACTGAAAGCCTATACTACACATCTAGAAGAAGCTATACCCTGTTTGTCCTTTTACAGGTATGTACTCTTGGATGGAAAAGACAAAGGAACTGACGCACATTCTACTTGATTTCACTTGGTAAAAACAGTGTGAAATATTTAACATAAGTAAACCCTTGGGGTTCCCCACCAACATCCCAAATTTGCTACTGTTCCTTACATTACGGCTTGTTGTTTGCATTAGCACTCCAAAAGCAAACACTAAGGGAGCCCCAGCCCGTTGGGATTTGGCACCATACTTGCCATCATCGAGCCTTGCTTCACTTACCTCTTAAGATCCAAAATGCCCACAGAAAGAACAGCAAATTTTGCCATGTGAAGGTTATTTCTAACAGAACAAGAAGCACAGCAGTGGTAATGAATCTTCATTTATATAGTTTGTTCCCTAAAACCAACAAAAGTATAATACAAATTTTTCTTTAAAAGAGATCTGTAACCAGTTTTATTGTAGAAATAACACCTTTACAGCATTTACTTCTCACTGGTTTGTTCTGGCATGCTTCTAATGATGTCAGAGTCACCTGTAAAACAAAAATGTATGGTTAGAAGAGGACTCATGGGAAGATGATTTTAGGAATAAAAGTAAGAGAAAAACCCTCTACTCATAAAATCACCACAGTGATTCTAGAAAAAGAAAACAACCTAAAAAAACAGACAGTCTGCTCAGGAAAAAAGCAAATAATTTTGTTAAAATTGACGATAAGAATACTTTTAACTGTGTTTTTCTAATCCAAGCCCAGTATTTTCCAATAATTACACACCTGTCACCAGCATTTACAAAGCCAGGACTAAAACAGTAATCTAGTCCTGGAGGACACAATGCATAGTTTTACTCTAGCGAATGTCTAGCCTCCCCTGATCACAGAGATATCAGGACAGCGAGAATATTCGCATTGTCAGCTCCAGAGCATTGGGACTGACTTACAGCTCCCACCCCACCCAAAACCAAACCTGAAAGTGACATTTTGACAATTAAGTTTACAGCTACTATTTGAATACAAGCAAGCTAAATAAAGTTTCCTGAAGCAGTAGGAAATTCAAATCATTCATTGTGACTTGGGGAAGAGCTGGTTAAAGTCATTACAGGAATCATTAAACCTATGTGTATGCATTCTGGTCAACAAACAGAACAAGGGATTGACTCTTCTCTTAAAACATTCTGGAAAGAGGATGGGAAGTCACCTACTTAGCATTCTATATAAGGAATCTGAGCAACTCTCTGGGACAAACACTGTTACCAAACCATAGTAATTACATACAAATGTAGTTTTAAAATGAAGCACTTAACATGATTCTCGTTCCCTTGATGAATACCCACCTGCCCGTTGGTTATTTTTCTATATACTATTGTGGGAAGCAGGACAAGTCACAACCCTTTGTCTCAGACTAAGAACAGTCAAACAGGGCTGTTGTAAACAGTATGTTGTGCAGTCTGCCCTAGCTGATGGGTTCAGAAACAGGTCCCATACAGTTGCTTCCCAGACACCAAAACCTCCCTACAGACTGACAAGCAGACAAAATGCTCACAGGGCTCAGCAGTAAAAGAGTTATGTGCAAGAGATGCAGCAGTGCTTCCAGGTTCTGAGAACCCTGGACTCACAAAAGAACAGGATCTTGGTCAGCAAAAATTTTAAGTGTTAAACTTGATGGAAAAATGCAGTCAAGTGTGTCATCACTCCTGCTCATTCCGTGCTCAGTGCTGCGACTCACAGGAGAAGGGAGGATCCACAGACACCTCCTCATTTGGCCTCTACACTGCAGGAAGGAATTACCTGGGTCAATGATGGCCAGTGTGCACACTCTGTAGTATTTTCCACACGCTGTGCCCAACTCAATGTTGTTCCCACTATAATGATGGACACCAGTCTTAGCAAGCATAGCGTAGTACTCGATCTCTGATTTTCTGAAATCCAAAAACTGGGTGTTAACAGGACCACAAACAATTCTGACAACTGCAATACAGAGAGAGCAGCTTTAACTCCTACCACACTTAACCCTTAACTTTTCCTTCCCACCCAGAGAAACACAACTGTTTCTTGTGAGGCAGCATCACTCCACGCTTGTGGCTCAGGAACCTTTATTTACATGTCTGCTGAAGGTTTGCAACAACAAACCCTTCAGGCTGCTCCTACTCAGGCTCATTTCTACATGATAGAAGGACTCAGCACCTGCAGACCTCTGGAAGGCCTTTCTTTAGGTGCCAAAGTGCATAAACTAAGAGTTAATGTTGATGGCCAGTGGCGACCAGATGCTGAACAGAGAGGCACCGGTGTTGCAGCTGCGAAAGGAACCATGTATTTTAATTTAAAACAAAAAGTCCACCTATGCTGCCCCCTCTTTCGACTTCCACTAGGAGAGTCTAGCAGTCAGTACTGTTTCCCAACCATTTTCAGATCCCCACTAATATTGGGGATTGCCACCCACTGCAACAGTCTTGCTATTTCTCAAGTATCTGATTTCTGGGTTGTGCACTGACATTGTCTTGAGCCTGTCAATATCCCTCAACAACAGTAAGGGCCCAGGTATTCAATGAGGAAAGCATCATGATACTAGTAAAAATTACATTCTCAAAAAATCAGTTTCACTGGCCAGGACCCCAAATTTATAACTAACTTTGGCAAAGTGCTTCAAATATTTTAAATCTGTTATCAGTTTTTCTAGCTATAAAATGATTTTCCAATATACTACTTTTGGAAAAACATAGGAATTCAGCCCCATTACACTCTTAGTGAACGCTATCAAGTGTGAAAAGCTTCCAAGACTTTCTCTAGTGTAAACTCCTTGAATCAGAAAGCCAGAAAAACACCAGGAAGAATTTCAACACTTCTAGACTTGAAATCATTACACAGCAAATTACCAAACAAATTTCAGAGCACTCTAGAACATGCCAGCAAAGCCCTCTGTATGAAGTCTCTGGAGCAATTAGCACGAAGCACAAACTGCATTTGCACAAAGAGCCCATCTCGGAATTGTTTTCTCCCACATCTGCTTACCTCAAAGCAGGACAGTTGTTGGCGAGGATGACCAACTTGGCTTTGCCCTGACGAATCATTTTCAGAGTCTGTTTGTACCCAAGCACATATTTGCCACTTTTCATAACCAGCTGAAGCCTGGAGTTGATGGACTCCAGGGACTTTTTCTGAAAAAGATGTAGAGAAGTGTTATTGTGTTACTTCACACTTTTCAAAACAATGGAGAACACAATAGAGAAATTTCAAATATGTGCACTTTTCATAATCTCCCTACAATCTGAAACATGGAATAGGAAAGGCCAGTCACTCACCAGAGTATAAGAAAGCTCATAGACAGGGACATTGCTGATACTGTGTTTTCACAAGTTCAGAAAGTTCTTTCTTATCCCCACATCCCTCAATAGAAAAATGCATCTCAAAAATACATCTCACTATTGTTGTTGCTATCTACATAAATAAGTGACAACTGCATGTATTTGACAAGCTCTTGTCAAGGCTTTGCAAATCTAAGCCAGGTTCAGAGCCTGTCTCTCTCCAGGGCTCACACTGACAACGCTACATGGAGCAGCAGAAAGAAGGAATTCTGTGCGATATCGAACTGATATTACAACAGCGGAGCGTGATGCTCATGACAACAGGTCAGGCGCATCTGACGGACGAAATCACCACCACTGACCAAGAAACTCAGATCTGTCAGAGCCACTCTAAGAGAAAGGCCAGAACATGGCAGGAAAGGCAAAACCTGAACTCCACCCGCACTAGGAGCCCCTCGGCACCACCTCTCCCTCCCTACAGCCAGTTCAGGAGCTCTGCAAGCCCCCGGGACATCGCACGGAGGGACCCGAGGAC